CCACCAGGGTGGGCCATTAGGTGTTTTTAATATGAAGGCAAATATGGAAGTGGGATTTGATGGAAAGGAAAAAGAAGATGCTTGAATATGTGGGACACTACTGGAAATTGGGAGTGGGATGTTGCTGGAGAGAATGCATAGGAGTGCACCTTCACCTCCTCACAGTGGGAAAGTCTTGACAATAACCTTAAAAATTTGAGTGCAACTTCCATAGTGAAAAATTAACAAAAATGTTGGAAACATTCTCAGGATAGGACAGATTTTCTAGCAGCATATAAGTGGCAGAAAAGTGTTACTGGTTGTTTAGAATTATTACTTAAGAATTTTTGTAGATTGTTAAACATAACCACTATTTCTGCACAGAAGGCTGCATTACTCTTTGACATACTTCCCAATAATTAGTCAAGATCACATACTTTGTGGAGGAATAGTCAGACTTTTGTTTCAACCAGCTACTGATCTGACAAGTACCTTTCTGTTTTCTTTACACTTGGATATCATGATTGTGTTCATGTGCTGCTTGCTCTAGCTGGAGAGTCGAGTCACATCCCATGTACTCTCTAGCTGTAGTAATAAATTTGAATCTTACATTAAGTTGTATTACTGGAAAAGTGTGCAGGTATGAATCTATGTCCTTGTTGGGAATATAAATGGTCTATTAGGGTGTTGTTGAGTCTGGTGTGGCAATTCTAGGAAGTTTGGAAAAAATCTACAGACAACTCAAAGGATGGAGGGAAGTATAAAGGTACACATGTGACACTATCTGGCTTCTACCATATGGATTTGAAATGTGACTAATGTTTCCTATTTTTCTCTCATGAGAGCCAAGTGAGAGCTTTAATTCAGAGGGAACAAGAGACCTTGTGACATACAGTATTAAACTCAGTTGAATATTTTATTTGAAGGAGAACATCTTGCACATGCTCAGAGGAGCCAAATTGGGACTTCAGCAAGTATCATTGAAAAGTGATGATTCTTGGCATTTCAGGACTCTGAAGGGGATTGGCAGAGAGGATTAGTTAAGGATGGCCTGCCTATAAGGGTGCTGTGAGTTCTCCAGCACCCTCAGCCAGTCAAAGGGGCGAAAAGATTTTGTAGTGATAATAGTAATCACAGAACATTTGCATCATGGTTTACAGTTTACAGAGCAATTTTCTATTCAACCTTACAGACATACAATTTAGATAGTACTTTATCTATAATTGATGGATAAGACTATGAGATTCAGAGAGGTTAGATAACTTAATGTAATTCCTCTATGGTCAAAATTTAAACTAGGATCCAAATCTTTTTATCCTTTTCCCAAGATAAAATACCTTTGCTTGCTTACCCACTGGTTGTCTTGTTAACTCAAGTATAGGAAGAATTTCATAATAAGTATATCTGTATACTATGATAGTGATAGTACATGTATTAATAAATTGAATAAATATCAAAATTTGAAGCCTAGTCTTTCAGTGAAGTAATAATTACTTTTCCATTTAGTTTTCCATAATTAATCCTATATTTAGGATTTAAAGACTTTGTCTGCCATCTAGTGGGATTTTGATAAACCACATATAATAACAGATTCTTCCCTGCAGTAAATTTTCTAATCCATTTGTTTCTGAAATTTAATCAATGTCTTCATCTTTACCTCAGAGGTCAAAATAACTAAATGAGTAGTCAGTACAAATATAATTCTTGTAGGATTTTTAAAATGTTTGTTCATATTTCTATGGGGAAACAAGATACTTCAAACAAGTTCTAGAAAATAGAACATTTTCAGAAGTCTGCTCCATAGTCTTTGTCAAAAGCTGAAGATAGTCATGTTTTTTTTTCACTATTTACTTTAGAAGATGGTTCCTCAGAAACCTCAAATAACTAAATGCTCTAATAGTTAGGAGATAGTTTATAAAAAAGCCCACCAATTTATTCCCCATCTTTCAATCATTGAAACCCCTTATTTCCATGAAGTCCATAGTTCTCAGTAATGTGAGTGGGCACAGACAGGTTATCAACCTGGTGTTTGGAATCTAGATAGTTAGGCACAGCTCTGAATTGTACACTTGCTTTATTTACTCACCAACTGTGAAGACTCATAGTCTCATGCTTCTAATTACTTCCCTGTTCCTACTCCCTATTAAAATTCAGCCATCCAGGAAGCAAGCAATCTTACCATCATTTTTGTCCCAGAGTAAAGGTCTGTAACTATTACAGCTACTATTATTATTATCATATAATTTATATGATTATATTTACATCTACTGGAGTCTGAACAATCTCTATATTTTGGTGGGTTATTTCCATTTTCAGATAAATTCTAGGGGTATCTTTAATTCATCATATCTCCTCTTCCCTTACCTCTCTGCTACTTTGCATGCAATAAATATCAATATTTGTCATGAATATTGTCAAGCAGATAAAATTAGATACTCCAGAATATCCAGCAGGTGTAAAGATAGCACTAGTGCTCTAATACTCTAGTTTATAGTGACATATAGACTAGTGTTATTAATGTCAGAAAATAATATTTGTAAGTTTGACAAGGTAAATACAAAAAAATTGGTGGGATACTTATAGTAATATTCTTAAGTCTGGAGGGTCTCATTTCAGTATTCTTGGAATATCTTCTATTTCATAAGCTCTTCTGTTAATAAACAAAACCAATATAAGCAGTAGGCAGATGGAAGTTAGTTATAGTCCAGTTTGAACGACCAGTACTTTTCAAATTTGTATTTCCGAACTGCTTAGGGATCTTGTCAATCTGTGGAGTCTGGTGCAGTCACTCTGGGATAGGAACTGCGACTCCGCATGCTTAGTAAGTTCCCAGGTGACACTGAAGCCACTGGTTCAAGTTTTATACAACTGAAGAAACAAGGTTTTAAGATCTTTGTTGTCTTAGCTGTGTCACAGTTCTCTTTCATGTACATGTAGAACGGAACCTTTGTGAAATGTATGAGAAGTTTACCAGCATCTGAGAAAAACTGGGAAAATAATGGGAATAACTAAGTCATAAATAGAAACTAACAGCTAATTTAAGTAGCAACATCAAATAATGAAGTCAAATACATTCAACAATTAGTCATTTGTGCAATAATGGAAGCATTTATTTTCATAAATATTTTGAAATGCAGTTAACTTTGAATCTCAAAGGAAGAGAAGGGCAGTGTTCCTGTGTATATTTGATATAATTATAAAACTCATTTTTAATTCATTAAAACAGGTCACTGCAAATAACACAGGAAAAACAATCATAGGTAAATCACTATGTATATGACAAATTATAAAAAAAAATGAATATTGATCATTTAAGATCAAACTTCATTTAGAATGGCAGGCCAGAGGAGAGTAAAATGAGAGCAACTCCAATTTCACATTGGATCTCAGAGATTGTCACTGGGAACATTCAGGAAGCAACACTCCTACTACAGTAGGAAGGTGCTTATTATACACTCCAACTTCACAGTGGGTTAAAAGACTGACACTAATATCCAGCACTTTGCAAGTCATCAGCACCTTTGTTATCTCTGATTTACTGTCAGTTTGCCCACAGCCACATATTTTCCTGAAATGATAGTCCTTTACCATTTTTTTTTTCTGAGCACTTGAGACTACATAAATTGTTCTTTCTGCATTCACTATGAGCAACATTAAACATTACTCTATTTTCAAATTGCTGTTGATCCTCTAATTAACCTTTTAGATGTGATAGTTCTGAAACTGAGGTTAGAAACAACTATTATAGTGTTTTGTGGTTTAACATATTTTGGAATGAAAATGTGCCTCCACAAAAGACTGCAGCACTATATGGAATAAAGCATACATAATCACCCATGTACCAATAAATACATTCCAACATGGACCCTCTAGGATTACCACATAATTTCTCTGGGACTAAATAGCAAGTCACACATGCAATAGATTCCCAAAGGTGCATCTAACATCGCCAGCCATGTGTGTGCACTTACACCATCCAAACCCAATCTTCTTAGTAAAATCTACCATGCTTTAAAGAATTTATTTTTCCTACTGGGTATTTAAAATTATAATCACTTTTCTTTGTGCCTACACATTTTTTAGATATTTTATAGAATTCAGAGGAAGAAAATGTAGAATAAAGATTAGAATTATATGCATTAAAAAATACTAAAAAGAGCTTTTCCCTGACACTCTGAGATGCATTTCTGTATGAAAATTTCAAATCTAAGCTGTTATCTAGAAACATAACACTGACAGGAGTTTGACATGTTCTAAATAATTAGATGAGAAAATATAGTATCTAGAATTCAGCCCTAATTAGCTTAAAAATTAAAGAAATGTCTATTTAAAATTTTAAGTTCATGTCAGAAATATCCTAATGCAACATGTGTACAGTTCTTAATTTTCATGAGAATGTCTAGAATTTCATTTACACCTCAATATTATAGAAGGATATTCAATTGAATAGAAAGATATTAAATCAGTCTATTTTGAGTTTTCAAAACTGGTAGTTTCACTGGAACCCTACTTGCTCTTTAATTTCTTAAAATATATTCATTGCAGCATCCTTCATTTTTGCACAATATATTATTTCCCTGTGAAATTCCCACCACCATGCACCATTGCCTTAGCCCTTGGTGTTCTTCCCACTCATGTCCTGAACCTTCTCCCTGCTCCTATTTACTCTTAGTAACTGGTTTGATTAGATGATAAAACTAACACTTTGTCCTACAAACATGTGTTTAAAAAACAACACAGAATATGGACCATCTTCCCTTTCTAAAAAGGTGTTCTAGCAAAAGTTTTCTGAAACAAATGAACCCCAATGAAGCAGGATTACATGGAATATGTCTCCTAAAGTGAAGGAAAAAAGCCTTTATAGTCTAATATTTAAGTCCTGCTGTAATAAAGGAAGAAAGCAAATCCCTATTTTTTCCCTTTTCATTGAAATTCTTTAGGACTGAACTTACAATGTAGAACACTTTAGAGATTTTTGCGATATAACAGAAACTAGACAAAACACAGAAATTGAAGGCAGAACATCTTTTAATGCTTGAAACCAGTCTTTCTGAGGTGACCATAAAAGCAAGACTATTACAGCACATGATTACTAATGCACATACCATCATTTTCCATACAATAATCCTTTTATTATAATTTACATCTCTTACTATTAGCACAGCATTCTCAAGTTGACAAGCATTAAATTATAACAGCAGAAAAATAAAATCCACTGAATTCAGAATAGTTGAAGAATGAGGAAATGAAGGTCTTTAAACACAAAGAGCCTGAATATGCTAAGAGAAATACCATGGGTATACTTAATGACACAAAAATATAAGCCCATGGGGTTGTAAAGAAATTGGTTATATTGCTTGCTCTTGTTGTACAAAGAATTCCTAGAGAAAGAAATTTAAGTAATATATAATAAATGGCTCATAACTATATTTTTTCAATTCTCAAATGTCTTTCAAAATAGTGCTTGTGAAATGTGAAAAACTGACAGTCCTGTTGTCACTGTTCAACTCAATAGGGAGCTACCAAGGGTGATGGTGTGTTCCCCTTCGATAAGGAGATCAGAATTCAGGATTCAGGATTTTCTAGAACATCCACTCCTCTGCAGAATTTGCCACCAGGGAGCCAATTAGTGAATCAGTACCAGATAAAAATAATTGCTTCATTATAGAAACTAAACTCATTTCATTTGTGTAAAGGATACCTTTTAAATGGTGCTTTTTTTTTTTTAACTCAAAGTAATGACCTCTTACTCATGTTGCTTAGAAATAGAATGCTACCAATTTCTTCAGCTAAAAGATAAACCTGTGTTTGGTAAAAAGCCACATCAAATCTTCATTTTTGTATATCAACATTGGCAATGTCCTGATGTAACTGGTATATAATTGTAGATTCATTTGCAATCTGAAAAATAGAAGAAAGATTGCAACTTGTCAGAAAGAGTGGACAATACACACATTCTTCATCATTTCCTATTTCTGAATTTCTGAAGTTGCTGAGAAAACTTCTCTTAGTGACTTTGGGTAAGACAGTCATTTTCTTTTCAAGAAGGATGTGAGGAAGGCTACTCCCAGCACTCCAGAGTTGCAGTAGAATAGGTGGCCAGCTCAATCTGCCCTGGAGGAGCATGTGCCCTGGGATGTCCTCCTTGGTCGTGAATACATGACCACTTTGGAAGATAGTATTGACTTAATTTTTTTCTTTTTTTTTTATGCATATAGAACTGGGGTACAGGCCAGAGGTGTGGTGGATGAGAGGATTCACCAGAGACAAGAGGATTCACCAGAGACAGAGTGTGGAGCTGAACAGGCAGATTGACTGAAGTACACTACTGAGGGGAGGAGTGGGCAGGTCAGGATAAGTCTGCCATGCCACGTGGATCACCTGTGGGGCCAGAAATTGAACTCACACTGAAGCAGCTGCTGCCTGCTTGCAGTGCTGAGCCATCAGGGAGAGCCCTTACTTAAGAGAGATGAAAAAAGGCACAAAAGTAATAAAACTACTATAATTTTTTAAAGTCATTAAAATAATAGCAATAAAAATACATTATAATAAAAAAAAAAAAGGCCCTCCTTGGTGGCGCAGCGGGTTAAAGCACAGCACTGAGAATCTAAAGCCGCTTCCCCATGAGTTCAATTCCCGCCTGCCCCGGAGGTGACCACATGGTGTGGCAGACCTCTCCTGACCGGCCGCTGCTCCCCTCAGCAATGTACTTTGTCGATCTGCCTGTTCTGTTCCCCACTCTGTCTCTGATGAAGCCTCTCACTGCCCCTGAGCCTCTGGCCTGTACCCAGTTCTGTATGCACAAATAAATAAAGCTTTAAAAAAAAAACCACACAGCTCCTCCATCTTTATATTTCTAATAATTGATGAATCTATCCAAAGGCATACTTAATTTATTATTTAGTATAATTTTTCCTTATAACAGCAAAATGTGTAAGCAATACTTATATTTGTGGACAAAATCACTGAAAATATTTCAATGCCTCGTCTTAATTTAGCCATGTATAAATCTAGGTACTGTGCTACGGTTCATTGAACAGTGATAATATTTATCACTTAATTTTAATAGAGAATACAGATAAATTTCATAAATAGTACATTTCCATTTGAAAAGCTTGCTTATAATATTTGTTGTTGTTTAATGGAAGCTCTTTTTCTAGTTTGTATAAGCACTGCATATAATTCAAAAATACAGTATCCCATCTATTCAGATGGAATTTCCACATCACAACCAAAGCACCCTTATACCTTCCCCTAAATGCATTCTGCATTTACCCTCCCTCTCTTCAGCTGGCATCCCCAGTTTTACAGTCAGATTTCCAGGGTTTGTCTTTAGTTTGGTTTTGTCTGGTTCCATTTTGTTTGTCTACATCCCAGAGATGAACAAATCCCAGAGGTATTTGTCTTTCTACTATGGTTTATTTTAGCATTACAGATTATTTTCTCTATTAATTACATAAATTGGTTAAAGATATTTGTTTAATTGGCCTTCTTTATTACTGGGTTAATGACAGGTTTTAAAGTTGATATGTTCACATTAGAATAGAATAGATAGCATAACAAGTTAGCATTTTCCATAATTTTGTCCAAAAAGATTATAAGCAGAATTGCTTACTTTTCAATGCACACATAGTAACAGAAATGATCACAAAATATTGAAAGGCAATTTCTAGGGAAACAGCCCAGTCTCAGAGAAAATACTGGCCCCCAAATTCTACCTGATTGTTTCTAACCTTCAGTTTGAAAACACACAATTCTGAACTGTTGCAACTTATACACCATTTCTAGGAGATTAAATGCTGATGATTCTCTGGCTGTTGGAAACAGTGAACTTATATCAGGTTTTAATATGATAATCATATATAATTTTTAGCATTATGTTGGCACAAATAAGAGGTAAAAAATAGTAGTAGAAGATATAACGTATGTAAGATAGCTTGAATCAACTATCTAGAAGGAGTAAAAAGACTTAAATAATCAAAAAATGGAGTCAAATTTTTGTACAAAATCTCTATAGTTCTTCAAAGGTGAAAATTTCATCTTTTTTCCTGTTCCCACCAAAATTTAAAATGTAACATAATTTATAATTAAGCAACTTGAATTTTTGGAAGATATATTGGAAACATTAGTTTGACAGACATTTCCAGAAATATTTGCAGCCTACTTATAACCACTCTTTGATAAAATGCAACAAGTAGTCACTAACAAAACACATTTTTTATGATATAAACTTATATACTTACTTATTTTACTTTCTTTGATCGGCAGGCACAGTATGAAATCATAAATGCAACAAACATCACCACACCAACACTGAGTAAGATCATTTCTACCAGGCGCAGAAGGTGTACTTTTCCAGTCACTTTATTTCTGAACATTTCTGCCTTCTCATCACCAATGGTAGCAGTCTGTAATCAAGTTATTAATATTAGAGTGAATTGTGTGGGTTAGTGAAGTAACAATATTCCTAAGTTTCCATTTAGTATCCCTTTCCTCCAAACACGCATATGGGCTTTAGCTGTACATAAAAGACAAGCTAGTGAAATCACTTTGCATGTCAAGGAAGGCAAGAAATTCCAAAGTGGAATATTCAGAATGAAATAAAATTTCATCCTTTTAAACACATTATATAGCACTCCTCAATACACTAGGAGTCATTTGGTTTTCAAAACTAGTGACATAGTTCATGAAATAGTTTGACTTTCTGAAGCATGTTTCCTAGTGACAGAGTGGGGATTGCAAGGGTCAAAAGCTTCGAACCTTCTAAAGACCTCTTACCAAGCAGTAGGTGACCCTGCTAGTGCCTACTCTGACCCGGCCTGGCTGTATTAACACTGTAATAGCAGAAACTTTTTTTTTTTTTTTAATAGTTACGTGTACACATGAGTCTTTCCTCAGATAAGCACTACAAAAAAAGGTATTTAATAGATGCTTTTTCTTTGTAAAAGAAAACAATCGTGCTAAAAGAAAAACATTGAAAACTATCAGACTTCATACTGCTGAATAGTTTCTCTCAATAGATTAATTAATACTATATAAACTCATTTCTCTGGGCAATGGAAACATCTGTGACTTCAAATGCTATATATACTTAGTCAATTTTGAAGTAGTTTATTTATTGAGGTTAGCATTGGTTTAGAAGCCTGTATGTGACTCACAGGCATAGGGTCACACCTCCTCAGATGCACATGACCACACCACACCCCTACCCAGAATGACATACATGGAAGTTGTCTGTTTAATGACTGATGGAAATACTAACCTCGTTAAGCCACAGAATAGGCACAATATATTCATGCTTCAGATTCTTTAGTGCCCTGCAATATACATTGAAAATAATAATGAAAATATATACTAATAATATACATAAATAATAGAAATTTTAGTCATTACTAGTGTAAATATTCAGGAATTAATTATACTTAAAACTTGAATTTCTTGATTTTTATTTTCCATAATTGTAATTTTTCATGAGCTGTTTCAGACATATTTTCACTTAGAAATTTTTTAAAACAAATCTCTTTGGATGGTTTTCCATGCGTGCAGATTTTCCCTTTCAACAAATTCTACTCAGGAAAGTAAAATATGGATTCATGTGACAACATTTAAGAGACTCACTCAATTTTTTTTGCTGGTTTGACCAATAAGTTGACTTGCAGCCGTTTTGCAAATTGTAAAGTGAATCCAGTTATCTAAAAAAAAAAAATTAAGATTTTACTTATACATATAAGAATGGGGTATAGGCCAGAAATAAGGGGATGAAAGGATTCACCAAAGACAACGTAAGGGGCAGAACAGGTGATCTACTGAAACACCCTGCTGAAGGGAGCAGTGGGTGAGACAGGAGAGGTCTGTGCACTATGTGGATCAGCAGCTTGGCCAGGGACTGAAATTGAGCTGCAGTGGCTGGCAATAACTTGATAGCACTGAGACTTTAACCCCTGCACCAACAGTGAGGCCCTTTTAGATTTTCTAAAGGCAGCATACACACCACATAATTTCTTTGCCTAACCTAATGTCAAGGTGTTAGAGATTTTACCTGAAAAGATTATGGGGAAATCAACAAAAATGAAACAGAAGAATTTACAAAGTTATATTCTTGAAATACATACAATGGTTAAGTATACCTATTCATTCAGAATCCATGTATCACCAGTTTACTTCTATCATTATTTAAACAAAAAGATGTTAGAATGTACAATTTAAACATTTCATTTACATTTTGATAATTGCTTTGCTATACGAATTCTATAGATTTTCTTGACCCTAATAGATCTTGCCCCAGATTTATACATGTATATTAAAAATTTGAGTCCCTAGTAATATACAACAGTATTTTCAATTAAGTAAGATAACCATAACAAATTTACATCAATGTTTGTAGTCAGTTACAAGCATTTCTATTATCAGTAGTTCTGAGCTCTGAACTATTAAAAAAGTTTATAAACAGTAAGTAGCAATAGGAAGAAATCAATGCAATATTACTGAAATGAAAATAAGCAATATATCAAGTTGTGATTCAATAAATGTGGATAACCACTAAAATTACTTTTTCAATTTTGATTAAAAAAAAAAAAAAAAAACTCAGGGCAATACTACATTTACTTACAGGTTCAACATCTAAGTATGTTTTATGTTCTTCTTCATTTGGATGTAAGCCTTCAATAGGGATTGAAATTTCAGGACTCGCATGTAGAAAATGAGGAAGTGAAATGTACACAGGTTTTCCTGAAAACAATTTTAAGAGACAATTGGGATAGGTCATTTCCTCACTAAGTAGATTCCTTTAAAATAAAAACGAGAGAGAACTTAGTGTCTATGGTGGAAAATTCTGGATTGGTAGGTATGGCAACATTCATGAGAGATGTGAAGGCCCACACTTCTGAACCTTACATAGCATTGTAAAAACAAACAAACAAACAATCATAAAGTAGGAATCGAAATTGATTTCTTAGATGTTAATTTTCAATATGTGAATTTTGGCTATGAACACAAAGTTTCTACCATATACTAATCTGTCAATGGACTAAGACTATCTTGAGAGCTTTTGCTTTATTCCCATCCAAATCAAAATGAAAGGAATGAGCAAAACAAGACTAAAATTTCACATTTATCAATTATTTTACTGAAATATTTCTCTTTTTTTCAATATAAAAGCTAGAAAATTGCCGATGGATAGTTCGATATTCAAGTTACTCTGGTTATTTTTATTTTGCCCCACTCTAAAAGCTATACAGGGATTCTACATAGTGAAAACCATCGACAAAATGTAAAGTCTACATGTGGAATACAGGGAAATATTTGCAAGCCTCATGTCTAATGTCCAAATTATACAAGAAAGTCATACACAAAGAATTGACAGAAATAAGCAAAAACTTAAAAAATGGGCAAAAAAAACACCCTCAAATTGACATTTTCCAAAATAGCAAAAAATATGTGTGCTTTTACTTAGTAACCAAATTTTACAAAACTGATACACATTTGGAATTCAAACAATACTGTCTTCACTTTGTGTCTTCCTTTTATTTTTTTTTTTTAAAAGGAATCCTGGGAAAAGGTATTTTTAAAGAATATTGAAAACTATGTCAGAAGCTGCGATACTGAGAATATTTACTCACCTTCTTTGCATTTGCTGATGTCTAGTATACCATACAATGTACAATTTTTTGAGATAATTTTTTCTGTGCAGAAGCAATGGTTGTCTGGATTTTGCACTGGAGATGCAAAGGCTTTGGGCGGAAGAACAAATCTAAACACAGGGATTCCTTTCAGGTCAATCTCACCTCCAAACACAGCATAGACTGACCTAAAACACAGGAGTAAAAGGTTTATTTCTAGTTACCTGAACTATGTTAGGGATTTTCCCCTTAGTTTTATGCTTTTGCTTAATTCTTAGGAAAGAAGTTACTATGAGATGTTAAATCACATCAGAACTCATTTCCTAAATAAGCTATTCTTATATGTGTTCTCAAATGACTTGGAGATCAATTTGTGTTTGTGACCTACGAAGAGTACATAATCTATACATATGCATAAATGTCCTCTTCATGGATGTAACCTTGTTAATTTCTTACATACATTTGCATATTAGCCTGAAATCTTTTCATTTGTGCCAAGTTTAAATGCAATTTTGGTTTTCAAAATTTACCCTGTAGAGACAGGCCATCTCTTGTTGGGAGGTGTGCATGGAAATAATGATAAAGATCTCCTATACCTCCACCATTTACTAGCATCCAGCAGAGAATCTAGGCAATGTTAGGGCTGTTGTTTCTTCTGGTCCTAGATAGCCCTAAGAAAAACACTTGACTCTTTAGTTTTATAGATCATTAGAAGATTCAGAGATGTTAAATGCTTGTCCACAAACACAGAATTCAGGGTCAGGGCTAGGATTCAAAGATTGATGTGACTTCAATGATTGTATGGTATCTACTGGGCCCCATCAATTTGTAAAGATGGAGAGGACTATGCTAAGAGAAATAAGTCAGTAGGAGAAAGACAAATGCCATAGATTATTTACATGTGGAATATAAAGAAACCAAACAGTCAGAGGTTACCAGAGGGAGAGAGAAAAAAGGGCAAGAACAAAGGAGGAGGGAACACAATGGACTATGGTGGTGGACTATGGGTGCCTTGGTGTTGTGTGGGTATGCTAACAATGCTGAGGGGGAGATCCAGTACTCTAAAATGTAATGATGAAAATCAACATTTCTTCAGTAATATTAACAAAACAGAGGTAGCAGAGCACACTAACAGTTATATGTATCATTTTCTGAGAATGTTAGAAAAACTGGACATGCCACTGTAGGCTTGATTCATTAGATATACTACTAGTTGAGTAAAAGAAGGGAAATATTCCTGAGGAATATTTTTTTTCTCAAATAACACGATAATTAACCATATTAAATGTAAACTTTTTGACTGCATTTTGTCACTTAAGGAGATACTTATGAGTCTGAAAAATACATTGTCTTTTCTTACCTGCATATGTCAGAGGAAAAGAATTGCAACTCCCGGCTCTTGTCAATAAAAGGTGGAAACGAGGCCCCATCTGTTTAAAAGCCAGGTCAATGGCAAGGAATTAGATGCAGTGTGTGTCCAAGAAAAATATGGAAATCTTTATTTTAGCATGGTCAATAGAATTTAATGCAAACAGCATATGTAACTGTTTTTATTTTAGACTTGGTTTTATGCTTTGTTGTACAAAAGGAATTTTCCCAAAAACCTCTATTCTTTTATTTTCCCACTACTTTTCTTTTACTCCCTTTAACCCTTCTTCCTCCCCTGGTCTCAGAAACCTCACATTGTTTACGTCTACTAGTTTTTATAAGTATTTTGCTTTGCTGAATCATGTGCTATGCAAATACACAGTATTTATATTTGTCATTCTGTCTTAATTTACTAGATGAAGTTCCCTCAAACTCCTTCCCATCTGCTATTTCAGTGGCAACATTTCACTTTTCCTTGTAGTTGAACAGTATTTCATTGTATGAATGTACCACATCTTGATTTGATATCATCAGTGAGAATTTAGGTGCTTTCATATAGATAATGCTTTAATAAAAATTGCAGAACATCATTTTTTAACTTGAAATTCATGTTCTTCAGATGGATACCCCAAAGTAGGATTGCCACGTCATACAATATTTTCATTTTTAGTTTAAGGTAAATTAGATCCCTTTCTAAAATGGCTGTACCAGTTTATATTCCCATCAATGATGTGATGTAATAGGGTTTTTGTTTTGCTATATAAATATATATTATATATACACACACTTTAATTCGTATGTCCAAAAATATATTTTACTTAACTCCGTATGTCCAAAAATATCAAAATACCTTAATTTCAACATGAAATTAGTATAAAATTAAATCTCAAACTATATAACTTTCCATTTACAGTGAATTTCAATTCATACAGGCCACATTTCAAGAGTTTAAAAGGGACATTGGAATGGAGCCACATGGTAGATACAGCTACCATATTCAAGAAATATGTATACTTTAGTCATATGTTGTTGAAAAGTTAGCACTTTTCTTATCATTTAGAATTCTGTTAAGTTTGAGTTCTTACTTTTGACAATGATTCACTAATCTGTTCTAATGTCTGCTGAATAATTTTTAAATCACTTATTAAATTTCCTTTAGACAGAATTTCCTGAAAATTGTGGGGAAAATATCTATGACACTGAAGTTTGTCACACTTACTGAATTTCTACATGGCACACAGAGGGTATTTGAAGAAAGAGCTAGATAATGCCTCCACTTACTCCTCAAATCAGTATCACCAAAATAAGGAAGCACTAAACATCTTTATTCAAAAGGGTAAGATCCTTCTACAGGCTTTGTTTTCTTTTTTCTTCTAGTAAATATATCAATGTCGCGATCCTATTATATTCCACTTACAGTCTTGTGATAAGTGAAATATAATGAAAGACCAGAGAATTGAACCCTGACATTGAGTAAACTGGATAATACATTTTAGCTACACTGTCCAGCTGTAGCAGTGCCCATTCAGGACCTGCTTCCCAACACTTAAACCTTGAAAGGAAAACAACACATTAAAAGCTTCAAAAATAATTATCTGAAATATCATTGACAATTATGTCACAAGAATGTCTAGTAATTATTACAATGAGCAATTATCACATGAGAGCTGATATCAGCAGGGCTTTAAAAATTCAAAGAAAATGATATTTTCACTTTGTTTCTTCATATTTACCTAAGAAAGTAGAGGAATTATGCCTAAATCATAATGAAAACACATTGGAAACATTTGTTTCATTAGTCTCTTTTCCCTAGTGCCCTAACTAAGAATCTCTCTCACAGGGATCTCATCAGTTTACTGTTCTGTTCAGTCTATCTCTGCTCCTAGCTTGTTTTCCTGTTAATTTTCTCTTAATTTTAACTTTGTGCCTGATACGCCTGTATTTATATTTTTATAAGTGAACCCCTCCTGTAAAACTTCTCTACTGGTTAACTTTGGACAGAATTGCTTACATTTTTTTCAACCCCCAAAAAATCCTATTTTGTGGTAGCACAGTATACTGTCTGTATCTAAGGACTAAAGTATTATGCTATACAATTACTAGACTTAGGAGTATTGGGAAATTTAACAGTTTATTTGCAGAAATGCTTTAATTAGAATTTCTTCAAGCCCTGTGGTTCAAAGTGTGGTTCAAAGTAAACATTATTTTTGATATTTTCTCTACAAGTACATGACAACATAGTTAAACATACAAAAACTCAATAATACCTTTGGAAAAATAAACATTCCTTGTTTCCTTTTTAATTCCCTTCCTTTTAAATTTTCTTCATCTTAATTATATAATTTTCCTACAAGGTAATGCCTAAACAACTTTGTAAACATCAGGCTTTTGCTTCTTAGTAGTTGAAATTCACTTCTGATTTTATTTACCTTGTATTTGATTCCCATTGCTTTTTTAAAATCTTCATTCTTAAACCCATTTGCTTTTCTTCAAGGAGAATAATTCAAGCCTAACCACACTCTAAATCTCAGTTCATAGTACTCCATAGCCCCCATCCAAAATGTTCAATTTTATCTACAATCTTCACGATTAATAAACGCCTAATCTTGACCCCTCCCAACATATCAGTTAATGAGATGGCAATGCAGTCCATCACTTAAAATACAATTGTTATTTATGATTTCTACTCTCATGCTGATCATCTTACTCAACATAGACGACAGTCTTGTAATTTCAGTGATTCAATCTTGTTAGGAAGTAGGCTTTACCTTTTATAATCATCATCATTTTGTATTTCTATTCTTTAGACTTAAGTGGTCTCCACAGTCTATATAAAAATGTGAATAAGAACTATTTCTCAAAGATTTGTAATGTGTTCTTAAGATCGCAATTCAATAAGCAAAGCTTTTACAAAGCAAAATATTTCCCTAGAAATGAAGTAAAAGCTAGTCCTTGTTCGTTAATTTTCAGAAAGCAATATTAGGTTGATACATACTTAATTTAGAATCGGTATTGTTATAAAGACTATGTTCGAGGGATATCAAGATAGGTAAATATATTCCTGCAAGACAGCACTGTAGGTTATGACTGGATTTTTGGGAGAGGGAGGTGGTTCACTGGTGTCTATCATAAAACAGATGTTCTTACCTGTGCCATTGACCAAGTCACAATAACTGGACCAATAGGAGAGCGTTCTTAAGAATAAAAAGAAAGAAAATGAACAAACATGCTTATGTTCATAGTACATTTCTCACATTACTTTGTCTATCATGAGTCAACACTTTACCTATAACAATGATTAGATGTGACAAAGTCTAACAGCTAAACTTCAGCAAATGTTCTAAATAATTAGGTCCTATTTTTGGTTTGATGCTTTCCTTTTGATGAGATCATTTGAGTTGCTGAAACCAGGAAATGGACAGATAATAGCATAAAAACTACAAATGTTTTTCATTAAAATAAGTCATAATACTCAGTTCTGAAGGAAGAAAATTAAGACACATTTATCAGAAATTAGGTTTTTCCTGAAGGGAATATTATTTTCCCAATGACAGAAGTGACTTATTTGCTAGTTCACTGAATGTTCACATTGAATGGGAAGAAAAAATAAATTGGGTCACAGATATAAACAGTGTAAGGGAGAACAAGCAACAGGTGTTTAATCATAGATTGAAAACATGTAGAAATCAATGAATATACCTCAACATCCATTAACCCTTGTATGAGAACTAGCATTGAAAAATGACTATTTATACTTTGGTATATAGACTTCATATATAGGAGCAATAAAAGTGGTTACTCTGCATGTTCAATATATTTTGGTCATAGGAAACTGATTTTTCTCACTCCTGACCTAGCAGGCAATGCAATGCCAATTCTTCATTTTTAAACAAAAAAAGCCGTTAATCAGGCAGGGTAGTTAACCTTATCAGAATCTTGAACTGAAGTGAAACCCTACCTCTAGTCAGGAGCACTTAGCAGCTGGCCTCTATAGCTTTCATAATGTTGAAATGGAGAAAATATTCTGACTCTTCAATATTAAGTGATATGACCTCATAAAATGAGCATTTTGAAGTGACTTCTTCTACTACTATACTTTTCCACAAAAAAAGTCTGACCAGGGAACTCTATGGAAGAGAATTTTATACCAGTGGATATTTAAGTATTGCATACAATTTTCAGGTAGGGACTATGAGGCAAAGATAATTTTCCATTTACAGTTGGTCTGATGGACATTTATTTTGAGGTTTTCTTCTGATACTTATTGGAGTTCTTCCTCCAATAAGGTAGCAGCTAGGAAAAAAGGAAATTGGGATACATGGAGATATTTCGTATTTAAGTTCTATGTAAATTTTAAAACTGTACATAAAATACTAATTCTACTTATGAACTGATTAAGATTTTAAAAATCTGACTATTATAGAAATGTATTTCAGGAGAGTTTGTAATGAAAATTTTTATATTGATTCATTAAACTATCTATAAGGTCATGCCACTGAAGCTAAAAGATCAACTTATACTGATTTTGTTCCATTTGTGGTTATCTAGTTGTATGGGAGCAGAGGTAGAAAATATCCCTTTGGATTTCTTTATGTGAAATAACCTGTACATAAAGGTAAACCAAACCTGAAAGTGGGGACATTGTTCAGCTTTATGAATTAGTGTAACTAGCTGTCACTACAAAAGGGTCAATACCTGAAAGCACAGGAAAATCCAGGGCTGATATCCAGGCAGGCCTGTTCCACAGGTCAGAAGCTGTACTTTACTAATTGTTAAACATACACTCTCCTACCTTGGAGTGACCTAGTAACACACACATTTCATCTAGATACTTACTTTTTACCTTTATATGTGTCAATTATGGCAACTTTGCTTATGTTGTCTTTTCCATTGAAAACTTTATAAACTCCATCTGCTGTATCATTGTACTGCAAAGATACACACAAAAAGTAGAACAAGCCATATTTTGTAAATTGTAAAAATAACTCACTCTGCATTTCTCATTATGGTCATTTATAATTATCTTCAATGATTTGAAATATATATATGCAATAAGGTCTCAATAGTTTAAAAATATAGAATATAAAAGATGCTTAGAAACAAGGGCTTGATGCAAACACAAGAAAACAAGTTTCAGAAGGTGACATGTTCCAAACTCTGGTACTCTTTGTCAAAATTAAGCCAGGAAGGTAGCTTTGATCACTACTATTACATTGAGGTGACAAGATACTGAACAAAACCTATGAATGAGAAGTTTCTATAAATATTCTAAATGTTATGTTTAATAAGTAGTTATTGAAAATTACGTATGTACAATTAAAAATTAACCAAGGGAAGAGCTATGAGTATTTTTTTTAAGATTTATTTACTTATGCATACAGAGCTGGGGTACAGGCCAGAGGTGCAGGGGCGGTGAGAGGACCACCGGAGGCAGAATGGGGAACAGAACAGGCTGATTGAGGAAGCACACTGCTGAGGGGAGCACCAGGTGGGTCAGGAGAGGTCAGCCGTGCCATATGGTCACCTCTGGGGCGGGGATCGAACTCATGCTGAAGTGGCTTTAGCTTCTCAGTGCTGTGCTTAAACCTGCTGCTCCACCAGACAGGGCCGAGTATTTGAATTTAACTGGAGGTTAAGTGTCAGCACTGTGGAACTATCCACAGCTACTGTAGCATGAGTTCAATCCCTGGCCAGGTTGCTGACCTACATGACACAACAGCCCTCTCCTGACCTGCCCACTAATCCCCTCAACAGTACATCTGCCTGTTCTGGTTCCCACTGTCTCTGGTGAGTCATCTCACTTCCCATACCTCTGGCCTGTTCCCCAGTTCTTGTAAGCATATAAGTAAATAACTGAATCTCTTATACTGTAAGGGTATTTACTTAACACAAATGTTGCATTACTAAAGGTTATCTAAAAGTATAATAATATAGTGAAGGAGGATATTACACATCAAAAATAATGCCAAATGAAATCACAGTACAAGCTGACCATTACATAGGCATTTAACTATTTATATCCCCAACTTCCACATTTCCTGTATCTCCAAACTTCCATTTCATAACATTTGTAGACTGCTATTATTACATTTGTAGACTGCTAATACTAGGGTAGGACATAGATGACTTTCAACCTTGCTGGGTCCAAATTTAAGCTTAAGTATTTAATTTACATTGCAATAATTTTGTCAGGTCTAGAGAAGGAATGATATTATGAATATTTACTTTAAAATTATGTATTAATCTGATTTGAGAGATATCAAAGCTGAAATTACTGCTTAATTCCTTTCAGTCTTAGAAACTAATTTTAGACAAATTGTGTATTTGTCTGAATCTGGACACCTGATTAAATCTTAAAATTTAACCACTCAATTCATATCAGTAGAATTTTCAAATATGAGGGATTCAACCATGTAAAAGATTATTTTTTTTAATTAGGTATGTGTTCCCCGATCAGGAAAAGGAATAATGCACTGCTATACAATTTAAAATATAATAGCCCCTTCCCATTTGCAACTCACCGGATAAAACAAACCAACTGTGGTGTCTATAGGGTAAGGAACCAAACTCAAGAAAGGATCTTTATAGCCCCACAAGAACTCTCTCACAGTTCTCCTTTGAAACAGGGCAGACTTTGACTTTTTGATAAGTGAATTAAGTAGCACTTGAACAAAGGCATTTGGATAGAGATGAGGTGCAGCCTATAAAACAAAACATAAAACACTGTAATTAACTCCTAATATCAGACTTGAGCAAATACATAGGTAAAATACTGGAAATGAATTTTAATAAAATTATTTTAACTTTTCAACTACTGTGAAATATTTCCAGGGTCAAGTGTAATTTGTCCAAACCCTACATTTCATTTCTCTGCCTCACAGTTAGCTGTAAGAAGACATCCCACATAAACTCGTTTCAAGTAATGTCCTCTGTGTCTTCTAAATCAGTTGTCATCTTTTCAAATGATCGTAACTCCATTCAAAATATCACAGGAATACATTTGTCATTTTAGAAAATGCAATTATAGTGAGTCCTAGAGTACTTCAAAACAAATAGCTGTATGTCTACTTACTGCTACAGCCAGATTGATAACAGTGAGAGTGTCATTCTCTGTTCCTACTGACATTGATGGTACAAAGAAGGCCTCGTTAGGCTGCAAAAAAGAGACTGTGTGGTTCTCAGGGTCCTGGGTTATATTTTCTTTGGCTAAATAACGGACTCTGAAAAACAAAGGAAAATAAAATTCAAAATTGCAATCTCAAGTACATCTTACGTCTCAAATGCTTATTCATTCATGTAACAGTTTCAGTACATAAAAGATGTCAGAAATTCTACCCAAAAGACACAAAAACACTGATTGAAAAAGATACTTGTACCCCCATGTTTATTGCTGCTTTATTTACAATTGGAAAAACATGGAAGCAGCCCAAATGCCCAAAAGTAGATGACTGGATTAGAAAGATGTGGTACATATATACACATGTCTTTTGCAGCAACTTGGATGGAGCTGGAAAAGATCATGCTTAGTGAGATAAGCCAGAAAGAGAAAGAAAAATACCGGATGGTTTCACTCATAGCAGGAGTATAATGGACCAGGTGAGAAAATAACAAAAATAATGAACAACCATATACCAGAGACATTCTGTGGGGGTGGAGTGGGGAATGGGATCAAAAATGGGGGGGGGGAAGGGAAGGAAATGCACGGGACTATGGTGGTGGCACAGGGGTGATTTGGTGATGGGAAACCCACGGGGATTACAATCGAGATGGAAAAAAAATGTGCAAAATGATGTAAAAATAAACTTTGTAATAAAAAAAATGTCAGAAATTATGGCAAGCAGCTGGGTTAAAATGATAAATAAGCCAAATTTGGAACCCTAAAATCTAATTATAAGTAATTTAAATTTTCAAATAGAAAACTAGTAAAGCAGGATAGATGGGAGAGATGTGTGGGAGTTTACACAGTGTCCATGGGAGATCCAGAACAAATCCAGGCTGAGGATGGTCATGGAGAAGATGAGTGTCAAGTCCCATTTTGATAGAAAATCCAATCAAAGGAAAAGGGTTGTACCTATCTCATATGTTTGACCTTTACCCTGAGGTTAAGGAGCAAAGTGTGGGAACATTTAAGCAGTGAGAATATTAAGAGCACATTAAAAAGAACATCCCAAATACTGGCTCTTCCAAGACCTTTGTTAAAGATAACAAATGAAAAAATAATAGCTATTTTAAAAGGCTACTGACCAATTTTGCTCCCCCCACCCCCATATAGTGGATACTTATTAGTTGTAAGTTCCTAGCTGTAACATCTTGATGCTGCAAGGATAAAGTGGGACAATTACAGAGAAAAGTATTTGAAAAATTCACTGAGATGAAATAAAATACATAGCATTAATTACACTATCATATTTGAATATCTGAGATGAACAGATAATTTACATTTCACTTCTAATGTGCTCAGGTTTAATAGATATAAACTGTGTAGGGTAGTACTGAGTGTTTTCTGTTACCAAGCAGGTACCTGGTACACAGTAAGACCCTAATAATTCTTTTGAATGAACAATACATTGATATTCTTTTCAAAATTTTTAAAAACTCACCATGAAAGGTATTTAATTTTAAATAAAATCTCACTAAAGCAATTGTGATCAAAGTTCTAGAGCTTACTCAGCTTGTACTTAAAATAGTTTACCAGCAGATGGCACTCAATACAATAAAAAGTCTTAAAACTGAGTTCTGTGTAATTTTATAAAGACCCTATAGTCATTTAATTCAAAATGAAGAGGAATATAGGTTTTGGAAAGTGTGTATTAATAGTCAAAAACATTTTCCTTAGGTTCTTTTGCCCCAAGATGGGTTTTATCTTTTGTGTTGCTGTCAAAGCAAAGTAGGTACACAAAAGCTTATACTGTGTGAAGATATTCTGAAGGAATATCTAGCCTTCAGAGAGGATATAGATCTGAATACAGAATTAAGATTTCAATCCAGGCAATTTCAGACACTAACCCATGTCCTTTCTTGTTAATCAAAGTTTCATCAAATTCACTTCACATGCATCAGCTAAATAAGCCTGCGATTCTGTTCAGGGAAGGACAGTCTCCAAACAAAATTTCAAATGGATTCATAGTATAATTTATAAAAGGCGGTTTTATGTTAACAACTACTAACTTTTTTCTTAAAGTTGCTAATTGTTTCCTTCTTACGTAAGGTGTCCAAACAGACACTAATTATTTTTCTTGGTAATAACACAAGAAAAGATGACCCCTAGTTGATTAGAAATCATTTTACAATTGTCATATAAATAGGAGTTAGTTGCTTATAAACTCCAGATTCAAACTTCTTAATGCCAACCCTCCCCCAAATGCCTCTCTACATACATCAAGTATGTCTACCCCATCCACCTTATGTTTCTTAGATTTAGAATAAAATATATATTGTTACCCAGCAGACGTAAATTAGATTCAATGTCTATATTTCTATAAGAAAAAAATATTATTAGAATTAAAAATGTCAAAAACGTTACCCTCATCACATAAATAACAAAACAAAAAATGAATTCTTAAATGATAGCCATTACTTACTCGCACTTTTGTTATGATTTTGAATCAATTGTGCTTGGATTCTCATTATACCGCAAGTGAATTCTAGATTTTCACACCATAGCTATAACATTTTGGGGGTAAAGGATATTGATAATGGACTTTTGTAAATAACATAAAAACTAAAAGACCAGGAAGCCAATATTTTTCATGGTAAGATTTCTTTATAATAGTGAAGACTATTATCTTCTTTGACAAAGTCATAAGACAGAAAATGGAGAAAATTGCTAAAACAGAACAGGCACCAAGGCAATTTATGTATCATGCTGTCTGGTAGTGGCTAGTTCCCTCACACCTAATGTTACCGCAAATATTGAGGGCAGGTTAACAATCCTGGGAATGTGTTAATCGATGGAAAGAAATTATAGAAATCACAAATATGAAGTTATAGTAATGGTGTAATCTACTTGAAATTATCCTGGAAAGAAAATCACATACTTGTGTGACATCTAGTAAGCAGGATTTGGTGTTTATATATGGATAGCATAAACATTCCTAGTCCTTGGTTAAGTAACTATCTTACTGATAGTTGGAAAAGTTGCATAGTCTATAACTTACATTGCCAAAAAATATACATAAAATCTTGGAGTTAGCAGTTCCTAGGTCTGTATAAATATGGACAACTCACTTAACATCCACTAATGTCAGTTACTTGTTTTAATTTACAGTTGTCTAAGATTCTATTCAAAAGTGTGTTAAACTATAAAGGACAGCAGAATACAAATTATAGCATACTTAGTCTCAGTACTTGGGAAGATGAAAGAATGGAATTATTAGATACTTAGAAACACCTAAATGACCTAGAAATGAGTTTGAGTAGAAATCTTTAGCAGGTACTACAGTTATGGTATACCAATGTAATTCCATTATTCTCAAACTTGAATCACCCAAAAGGTTTATAAACCTTACTTGAGTGGGGGTGGGCTCTGAGAAATTGTACTTCTGCCCAGCTCCCTGGTGATGCTAATATTGTGAGTTCAGGAACCATACCATGAAAATCAGTGATACAAAATTTTAGAATTTTAAAATACTTTGGTTTTTAAACTTTTTTATCCAGCACATATATTTCAGTGTTGATAGAATAGATGCTACAGATATGAAATACCTGAAATTTCTTAAATTTAGCAGCATCATATACCTGTCCTACCTTTATTCTAATCTTTTATTTCTTATAATTAAACTAGGATGCTATACAGACACAGTCCATTCTATATCAACCCAATAGCATTTATCAAGTAAGTTTTTCAGACACACATAGGGTCAAGGAAGAAGTGAGGCTTATCTGTATGGACATGCTCACCTGTATGTGTAAGGACCTCTTTGCTTAAGCTTAATTTTGCTGCTATTCATCACCACTTCCTGTGGATTTTGCACATCAAAGATCCAAAACTGTCTGTATATTTCTGTGCCTGCTTTAACCCAATTTTCAAAAGCAATTGTACCATCTTCAAGGACAGCTTCCTAGTAAAAAGAAAACAAGTTTGAGTTACCTTTATAGTAATTGATAGTATAGTGGGAGTTCATAACATTTAGCCAGTGATGGTATAACATTCAAGTATTGTGTTCATGAGAACCTTAGCAACTTTGTCAAATACTTTCAATAGATTTTTTTTTAGCAAATTATTATAGCAACCTTTTAGTTAAGTTTTTACAATATAATCAGTGAGTAATACTTCAGAAATGTCTGTTGATTCGACACTTGATCTTAGCCAAAAGGCACAGAAGCAAGAGATATATCTACTGACATTAAGGTCAATTATTGACAAACTTTAGAGTGACTCCTTGGCAAATATTGCAAAAGCAGATTTAGTAAGCAAACTTTATTCAGTATTTCAGTAAGTTCTTATTTGTTGAACAGTAACTTCTTCCTTCAGTGAGATGGGTTGATGAGGTAAAAAAGAACAAAACTCAAGTGGCATTGGAAGCTTTTTACTTTGCTTCACAAGTTGGACAATTTAGGGCATGATTACTTAAGATTTGTTATTTTAAGAATACAAATACTTCTGGATTAAAAAATACAAACTCTTGCTCAAGATCCTGCACAATATGGCTTTCCTAACTTTAAATATATTTGTTGCAACCCAATTTATGCTACTAATTTTTTAAACTGTATTTTTTTTATTGAAGCAATGATATGAACCCTATACATAGCTTAGGGGTATAGATAGATACCGCTTGAGCTATATGTACCATCTCTTACTGTAAGAGTTGTGAGATTGAGTGGAAATTTACCAAACCCCGTTTCATTGTGTATAAAATGAGAGTATTATCATAGATACTATCCCAGCTACCTTCCCAGTGTCGATGCCAAAAGTCCATGATGCTATAGCAACTAGTAGCAAACAATGGTGATTTTGTAGCAGGCAGTATTTCCTAATAACTGCCTTGGGAAAAGTGCCCAGGATGGAAAACTCCCATCTACTTTAGTGTGCTAGAGGAAGAGGAAGAGAAGTATTTCACAGAAAGGGAGCCTAAGCAGACCCACGAGTATAGAACAACCTGACCTTTTGTTTCCTTGGAAGCATTATTCATAGAATGATGGATCAGAAAAGGATTTTCTAGTAGCATTAAGACTCCAAGAAACCAGGTGTTGGCCCAATGGTAACCTCGGCAAACTGGAACATGAGAGTCCTATTCTCTGATTGACCCTTATACTAGTTTTCTTCACACCATGTTACTGCTGTCTTTTTTTCCTGTCACCCTCTGCACTTTGTTGGTAGAAGTAAAATTAAATTTTAGATCTTCAGGATTTTTATTTATTGCTTAATGCAGCAAGTAAGTGAATTCCTTAGGGAAGTAAATGGCAACAAGTAAAATTCATTTCAAAATTCTGTGCTGTTGCAAACCATTGCATTGGGTACACTGGAATTGCTAAATGGACGACAGAATTTTTATTACTTTTTATAGTCACTATTTCCATACTAAGAGGCCCAATAGTAAGACAGGCCCAATAGTAAGACAAAATTACATAAAGAGTGCTATGTTTATTCTCTTAAATGTAAAGATGGTTGAAGGTGTTGACGCTTAACTCTATGCAGAATTAGAATGCTGGTGTGTAAATTTACTCATTCCAAGAGACTGAGGAAAAAACTATGAACATACACATTCTTACACTAGCACTGTAATAATAAGCACTGTATAATAATAATATTATATCCTAATATGACATAAATGATCATGTACTTCATAGACACCTATATTAACACTGAGCTTAATGAATTGTAATAGAATATACTTCAGAGAAGTATATAGGGAGAGGTTTGAACTCTCCCTAACTCTAATGTGTGTGCATTTAGCAGCAAAAGACAGTGTATCATGTCTTTCATTTAAAAAATCATAAATCACTTTGCTTTGTTCATCTTAATACTTTTTTTAAAAATGTAAAATAGAACCACATATAATTGAAATAAATGTGCTGAGTTAGAAACTATCTGACTCCATCAACTTTTTCCAGAGGTAGAAATGGGGGGCTTAAGAGATTCAATTTCAGATGACAGTGAAGCAGACAATGGAGAAATTAGTTGTTTTCACACCAATGTTGTATAGTTCTTATAACTTCATTAGCTGAGAGACAGAGAAAAATAATGAACTATTTAATGGTTGATAAATATAGAAACTTTCAACATATTCTTAATATAATTTTAAAAGGGCTTGATTTTAAATTAAATTTGGGCTACCTATATAGATTTGTCTTTTTTGTCTTTGACGAAATTTAAAGTATGAAGCTGATAAATAATATAAGATCTTCTCACTGGGTTAATCTCTCTAGTGAGACTCACTTTAAGTACATAATCTACCTACCTAGTGACTGTATTCGAACTTAGTGACTTTCTTCTGGCATATCACCAGAAAGTCTGGTTGAAAGTCACTGACCTTGAAACTTCAATTTGTTTACAGCTCTGATTTACTTTCAAACTAAAGTAACATCTGCTATCTATTCAAATTCTCACTTGGTCATTGCTGTTAATCTATTCTTACCCCAATTAAGTATGGTGACATCTTCCCTCAAAGAATAGAGTGAAATGGTTAACAAATTATGAGTTTGATCACCATTTTGGTTATGTGTAACTCATTTAACTCAAGTACGTTAATATCTTTGAACTTCAATTTCTTCATCTGTCAATTGGGAGAATATTACGTTGAATGACATAAAATTAGTATCTTTAAAAGTGAAAATAAATTTAATATGGTTAAAATACTTATCCTTATGTTATTTCAAGGATTAATAAATGTGAGCACTTAGAAAGGTGTTAGCAAATAGCACACATCCAGTAGATGCTAGCTATTACACACAAACCCTGACTGCCCTTTAGAGGTAGAATTCAATCATTTACTCCAAAGACTGCTTTTACTGTTTTATGTTAACTGTTTATAGCAGTCACATGGCTATGACTCGTGACATGTCTGCTCTTTAATCCTTAATATTTTCTCCCCTGTCAAATGAAAACATCCTTAAAATGCAGAAACATCTGAAAACTTTTATCCTACTTATTGTGGTAGTGACTTTGTTCATTAGTAGACAAGATATTACTTCCCTTCATGGTGTTCAATAGTTAATGTTATAAGAAATTTAAAATTATCTTTATAAATGATGGCATATTTTTCATCTTTCTTCAGAATACTTTCATAGTTTCTGCATTCAAGACAGCTCATGACATTGACTTTTTTCTATCTAGAAAAATTGCATAAACCTGTGGCTTCACAGAACTCATAAGGGGAAATACTAGTAACAAACTTTTTTAGCTGTAATTTATAGAAAGCATGCATGATGTCTTTAGAAAAAAAAATCCCTTGGGGGAAAAATATACACACAAACACAGACGATTAAATTTATGTGCGTGTATGTATATATACACAAATTACATTTTTACTTTTTTTCAAATTGAGGTGCAACTGTTCTTTATATGCTTATTTCTCATGCAGAATAATATCTGGGTAGTCATTATACTAATTAAAGGAAAGTATTTCTACTAATGGGTATACCTCTGAATAGCTTTTATCAGAATTTATTTAGAATTGTTAAATTTATTTATATGTTTGTAAGCAACTCAGTCATGTTAAAGCTATTTACTTGCAATATTTCTCTAACATGTAGAAATTCTTCATTTTGAAAACACAAAACAACTAGTTCTCATCAAATACAAACAAGGCACTCAGAGCAAAAAAGACAGAATATATAGAATGGTAATATAAGCTCATATTCTATATGGACACCCAACCCCTGTCCTACTGGAGCCCCTGAAAGGAAAATGCCAAGAAATAGCCTTAAGACTATGTGTACCTTTTCAATTGTCTTCTCAATAAGCATGTCTCCCACTGGCATCAGAATCCCTCCAAACACAGCCAGAACTGCACCAATGACAGCGCCAGCAATAAGTCCACAGTTTCTATCACAGCCCATTTTTCTTGCTCCAGTGCCTACTTCCTTCGAACTCCCAGGTCTGGTTCAGGTGATTTCTAAGAAGTCTGTTTCTATCATTTGGAAAGACCATAAAGCAGCTACTTAAGTATCAGTAGGAAAGATCAAAGTACAGAGAAAAGATGCAATTGAGACAGATCTTGTTATCAATAACAAACTTTTGTTTCACAAAATGGATTTTCTAGGGCTCTTACTTGCTTTTAATTACTTACCAGCGGTAGAAATAATGATTATTGTAACATAGAACATTTTTTAAAATAGTTTTGAATGTTTTTCCTATAGAAAACTAATGTTGAAATCTTTTTCAAGGAGCACACACTTTCAGTGATTCACTCTCCCTTAGCCTAGGGCATTTAGCTGCATCCTCATGTCTGTATGTCTCCACCCAAGCAGTAGCCACACTCTCCATGGAGTTGCAAAAAAACTGATGAAGGTGGTCTCAGCTTGTCTCCATCTAAATGCTAACCAAGTAACAGTTAATGGGTGTTATCTTAATCATACCTTATTCACGAGTAAACAACAGATATGTGTCACAGGAAATAATTTGATAAGACTCAGAAAGAATCAATTCTTCTAATCATTTGTAAGCTACCTGTTAAGACAAAGCACAGGGTAAATTGGAAAATTAGGTCAGAAAATCAGTACTAGGATATTATCTAATATCATTAAAACTATAGTCACTAGTAGAAGAAAATGTTAATGAATATTGAATTTATGCTTAACTTATTTGTCTTATAAAAGATTCAAAAAAGTAGAACAATACTTTAGGGCCCTCCCTGGTGGCACAATAGATAAAAGCACAGCTCTAAGAAGCTAAAGCTACTTCAGCATAAATTTGATCCCCGCCCTGGTGGTGATCCACATGGTGTAGCATACCTCTCCTGGCTCCCCTCAGCAGTGTACTTATTGATCTGCCTGTTCTGCTCCCCACTCTGTCTCTAGTGAATCCTCTCATGGCACCTGCACCTCTGGCCTGTACCCCAGTTCTGTATGCATAAATAAATCTTAAAAAAAAAAACAATACTTTAAAGATATTTTCAATGTCATTGCTAGTAATATTTTGGTTAGATGAATGGTGTAAAGAATGGAAAGAAAATACATAATGAAGATAGTTTTTTTTTATTACAAAGTTTATTTTTACATCATTTGCACATTTTTTTTTCCATCTTGATTGTAATACCCGCGGGTTTCCCATCACCAAATCACCCCTGTGCCACCACCATAGTCCCATGCATTTCCCTCCCTTCCCCCCCCCCACAGAATGTCTCTGGTATATGGTTGTTCATTATTTTTGTTGTTTTCTCGCCTGGTCTATTATACTCCTGCTATGAGTGAAACCATCCGGTATTTTTCTTTCTCTTTCTGGCTTATCTCACTAAGCATGAGAAGATACATAGTTTTAATGATGGGTATTGCTCTCTTGCTGGTCATAAAGATTTTTATTATTGTACATGTACAATATTGCAAAATGTACATTTTATCCTAGACAACCAAGTCATGCCAATTCAATTAAAAGCAACTGATTTGGTTATTAAGTATTTCAACCAGTCAATTTGAGTTTCGGTATCTTTATATAGTATGTGGTTATTTCATAAAGATTAAGAGAACAGAATTTGTACAATTTGTGGATACTGATGTAATGTATTCTTATTTTGTCCCTTCTAATAGTTGAAAACTTGTTTGAGAGTTATTGGTGTGGATTGCCATTGACATATAGTCAGAATGTGCTTTGTAGCTTATAAACAAATATTCCCTACTTTACAAAGGCCAAGGCAAACAAACACCAACAAAAGGGAGGTCACAGATTCTGGTAGTTAAGATGCTTTATTAGTCATGAGTGTTACATACTGTTTTCTTTTCCCAACATAAAAGCAGCATGTGATTTATTTTTCCTGTGCATTTTATTCAACTCCAGCAAGTGAGGTTGAATTTGATTAATTGTTTGGGGGTGGAGTAAGAAAAGTATCCTTCCTTGCCCTATGAAGTCATGTAACATGCTACTTCCTATGACTTTGGCTACCATTGTCTGGGCAATGAAACACATCACTGAAGCTGCTATTAAAATTTTTCTTTTGTAACATGTAATTGCATTACTGCTTTAGTTAAAATATCATAGAAACTGCAAAGTAGTATCATCCTGAGGTTCTGTTTACTGTGAACAAATAAACATTCAGGTAGCTTATAAAGCAAAATTAAAATGAATGCCCTTTTCATAGATCAGCCCAGCTCTCATTTTGCAAGTTATATCTAAGGTAGCAATCAAAACCAGGAATCCAATCTGTTGTACTGAGAGTAGGCTAAAGATTAAACTCACAGCTCTCTTGCTAGGTGACCATGATTAATTCAATTTATGTCATTATACTTCAGTTTTCTCATATGTAAAATAAGATGCAAAGAGGAGATCCAGTTTTTAATTTAAATAGCTGAACAGTTTCTTCACTCATATTCTTACATGGGAGACCATCAGGAAGAATAACTACAATTATAGCTATATTGAGAACCTGAACCCTAATTTGGTATTTCCTCTCCCATTTACCACTGTCCTTTTCCATCTTAAGGAAGCCCTAGGAGAACCTCTATAGAAAACTATGGCTTTGAAACACCATTTTAAAAAATGGTACATGAAACCCTCAGCATTAAATTCTAGCTTTCATCATGAATCTATTTTTAAAATCCAGTATTTTTTTGGATCAGACAAACCTTTATCACTTATAACTTGCAAATCATTTCATATCCTGTCAAAAGTATCTATTTCAACAACAATAAAATTATGTCATTTATGTATCTCCTTCCAGTTTCTATGGCATGTATTAGTCACAAATCTCTCTACTCTTCAGAAATCACTCTCCTTTCTTTGAGCAGTCCCCACATACTCCAGGGAAAGAATTCCTGTTAAGACGTCCAAGAAAGCTCAGTGGAAAACTCAGGGACATTATGTATTCTCCAGGGTCTCTTTAAAACTGAAAACTCACTATTACAACTTCTATAGACTCTAACTCCATATATGTCATATAATGGGTAGACTTAGGCTTTGAACTTGAAGGTGAAGAAGGCAGAGAGAACATATACATATTCAGCTGCTATTAAGTTCATCAGACAACAGAAGTGGTGAGCAAAACACTGCATTGGATGATTTACAACTACTTAATAGTAACTACTTCATCCATGCATTGATATGTAAGAGAAAACATACACATGTGAGTAAGAGACAGATATTGAGTTCATATACTTTTTAAAAATTTCTACTGATGGATTAACATTTTTTTAACCTTAATATAAGTTTGTTTTTTCTCCAAGAATGGGCAAGATAATTGACATTCTTGGGTTCATGTATTATCTTTCAGTGCTTTGATACCATGACTACTTAAGAATTGCTATTATAATTAAACTTTAAATTAACCTACATTTTACAAAATGGCATTACTTTTATCCATCTGAGGCATAGGTTGGTAAAACACATATAAAGTAAGCACTATATCCATAAGATAAAGATCGAGTTGCATTATTATACATTTTCTCTTACGCTTAGCTCTTTAGGGCATGTAAAAGTTGTATCTAGTACCTCTGATCTTAGCATTGCTCCTTAAATATTGAAATAGACAATCTGAAATTGGTAGTTGCCTAAAATTAAGTTTTAGTCCTTGTTCTGTCTATCAGAAACAAATATGTCATTGACTGCACTCTAAGAAATCTATCCAATAAGAAAATAAGACCATCACAGCAAATTCCCAGATAATTTGGAGAGCAAGAAAATGTCACAGCTGCTACAAAGAAAACTAATCATTGAGTCTTATGAAAAGAGTAATAGAAAACATGTTTTACAGTGTCACTAATTTGGCTTTCCTGATCTTTAATTATGTTGAAGTAATGTTTTACAATGCTATGATTTAGGGGTATGAGTTCACATGTTTTCATATGTACATGAGACCATTTCTACCACCACAGCACCAGTAATACTTCAAGTCTTGAGGGAGAACCTCTGTTTATAGATTATAAATCCTACTACCTTGGTCATATTCAATAGTTTATCTTATCCCATGGGACTATATATTTTTTTCATTAACACATGGTAAGTTTATTAGGGAAAAGAGAAAAGAGAAAGAGACACCAGCATAGCACAGGTTGGCCAAGAACTAATTGTATCCTTCTTGGGGATACAATTAAAGAAAAAAAAATGCATTGTTTTCTACTGTCATATGGATGGCATTCTAGAATGCTACATATCGGGTAAAAATTGAAGGACTTGGCATTTTGCAAAGGCTACCATTGACTGCACTCTAAGAAATCTATCCAATAAGAAAATAAGACCATCACAGCAAATTCCCAGATAATTTATTATTCCCATATGAGAATAAAGCTGGGTTCCCTGGGAAACTACATCCAGAAAAATGGTGACCCAGAGGGGAAATTTCTTGAGATCTGAACTATAAAACTTGAAAAAGTTTCAGATTACAAGAGTACTTGTGCCATAAATGAACACTAGGACCCAGCTTACATTTTCCTACCCACAAGTTATTATCTAAAATTTCCTACTCTGTCCGCAAATCTTTTCACTTTTGCCTTAGAATAAAGAAACTAACCTTACATCCCTTCTTCAAACACTCATTCTGCATGTCTTCCTCATCTAATATCTTCCCCAAAACCCAGTATTTTAATTTAGGGGGATTATTAATTCAAAAATTAATGAATGAGTGATAAGTAATGAATTTGAAGAATAAATTTCTTTCTTAACCTTTACTTTTAAATCCCATCTATGTGTGTTCGCAAAGCCAATATTTACTGAATCTGAGTAAATGCAGACTTAAATCCAAAATAGTTGAACTATGTCAGTACACACCATATAAAGAGGGTGAAAAGAATAGCTACTTGTAAAAAGGGGGAGGAATTATAATCTTTTCTCTTACAAATACCACTCACTTGTTCTGAGTATTCACCACAGAACACAATGATTCTGCAGAATAATTTTGAGATTTCTAATGCCCTTTCTTATTGAGTCACCACAATATTTGATAAACATAAATTAGAGGCATCAATGATATAAAACAATATACTAGGCTAAATTATACTTGTTATATATTACAATTTAAAATGAGAAGTCTAAAATGAGTATGCTATACTTCACATATTAAGACTACTTCTAAAATCAGGCTATCTTTAGAGACTTAGGAGAGAATTATTTTTTATGTGACCCTCTTAAAGTCATTTAAGTAAAATCTCTAAACCTGTTCTTTCAATCCAAAATAGAAATGCCATTATTTTCCTCTTCAAATTGTATGCTTGATATATATGATATATGATATCTTATATCATCTAACAGTTGCAATGATTAAAATTCTGTGCTTTGAACCCTTTCAGTATAGGTTCAATTCTGGGCCTTATAATAGTTCCTCCATGGTTCAATTTTCTTTAAAATAGGTACATTATTGATCAATAAGACTGTGTCAAAGTGAAATGAAATTATGTATAAAGATTCACCTAGCAAACGTTACTGTTATTGTAAATTATTATATCAATCACTATTACTAAACAAATAAAGGTATGATAGTTTAGATAAATAGGGGATCATTTATCCTTTTTATATATAGGAAATTAGAATAGCATGCCAAGGGAAAGTTATTAAAACACTGTTACTTGAGACATTCATCTATAACTTAATCTATAATTCAAGATGCATTATAGCACACCTTGTTAAGTCAAAATAATTCCTAAGATTCAAATGTGTTTGAATACATGGCCAAAATGTTCTTGAAAAAGGAAAGTCACCTGTAGTTTTTGAGATAAATTCCAAAATTTTTGACACAGTGTTCAAGTACAATTCTATTGTACTGATGATTTCCCTCCCAGGTAAACCTGTTTTCTGATGATTGTGGTTTATTGTTCAGGATAATTATGACAGGAAGACACGATAAGTTTTGCAATGGTTAAAATTCTGGATAATAATGATAGCTGAAAATAATTCTCCATATGGTCTTAAAATTACATGGGCAGTGTACACACTATCAGTATTCAAAGCAATGTTTCCTTTATCTTAAAACACATTGCTAACTTAATACCACATAAGAGAAAAGGGAAATAAAGCTAGTATTAAGAACATTTCAATGTTAGTTGATAATTCCAGAAAATGAGATTAGTCTAGAAAATTTATGCCATTTACAGTTATGTAAGAATTTACTTACTATATATATGTGTGTGTGTATATATATATATATATACAAATTGAAATTGTATATATATATATACAAATTGAAATTTTTCCAATTATAACTTGGTATAATTAAGGAAAATAACTTGATACTTATAATGAGCTTCAAAGTACCCCAAAATTAGGTTATATAAATATAACCTAATTTTAGGTTATATTTATCCTTTTATCAAAGTTCAATATAAATTATACTAATTAAATTTAGGATTATTTGTAATGACTATAATTGACAATTTCCAGTAACAGTTATAAAGTAATAATTAACAACTGCATGTTGACATGAGTAGCAAGTCATATACAACTCATTGATTTTTTTCATCTATCTTCATAACTTAAATTAAAAATCATGTATAAATAGCTTAAGCATACAGGGAGAGTCAATCTAAATTGAACTGTAAAATTTTTAACAATATTTACATATATAAAAAGGTTATAAACATTAAAAATAAAATATTGGCATTTTAAGATTTTAAAATAAAATGTAGGAAGGTTGATAACTTGGAAAATAATACAAACCAAATTTTTAAATAAAACAAGTGATTTCAAGAAAAGAATTTGTATTTTTGTTATGTTAGCTGTTAAATGTTTCTCTCATTTGCTTGAAAATCTCTTATCCTTTTATTTAAAATAATCAAAATCATGACTTACCTTTAAAAAGGCTAAGGATTTTTCAGTCAAATGCCCCAACATTTCAACAGAGAATTCATAGTAGGAACAAATGGTATTCTGCACAAAACCCCTACACTGCAACCCTTATTACATAAAGTGTGTGTTTAAATATGCTTTAAAAAAAAAAAAAAAGCCTACGTCAGATCCCAGTGAGTGGCTTGTTGCCAAAGGAATTTACCAAAAAAAAAAAAAAAAAAAAAAAAAGGAAAAGAAACCCACACATATCACACTGCTGGTATGGCTCATAGTGGTCTATTTTTATGTCTAGTGAGGACCCATCACCTATATCTGAGAGAGTCAGCAGTACTTTGTGTTGGCCATTTTCCCATCCAAGTAAGTCAGAGGCCAGCAAGACAAAAGGAACTGACTTGCTGAGCTGCTTCTAATATATTCTGGTTTACTACACAATCATTATTGAAGATGATTAGTCTGGGGGGTGTAAAGTATAAATTGGGAATTATCAGTTCTTGTGTCACAGAGGTTAAATAAAATGTACTTTTTAATACAGCAATAATATAAAGTTCTTTAAGAACTAATACATTAAAACAATTGAGACTGTCAATCAATAGGAATGGCAAATACTTATAAAAGGAAATAGCCTATTGTTCTAACTGGAAGTTCTTAACTGTTTATCATTTTGTTAGTTTCACAAAAGTTTCATGAATAGAGGGTCAAAAGATGAATTTAATATTAAAAATGTGTATTTGTAAGTTACTTTAAAGTCATTTTTAAATCTAATCAAAATAAGACCCTACTCTGGAGGAAATATTAAGACTCGATTCTTTAAGAAATTCCCCAAATCATACAGACAAGAATGAAACCTTAGGAGGGTTAAACTGATTATCAAGCTAGCCAGCTGGATACATGTTTCCAAGTTAACCTTGAAATAAAGCAACCTAACTATAGCAGGAAGGGATATATTTAGTTTATTAGATCATACTTAAACCAGTCCTTATCACTACACTGTCCCCTCTGGGCATGTATGAATCCTTTAATTTGTTAGCAGTACAATACAACTGGAATGGAACTTAAAGCACTTCTTTTGCCTCAAGATCATTATTTCTTTTTCCAGGGTATTTTACTGACATATTTAAATAAGTTATAAAAGCTTAGGTATATTTGAAGGTTTTTTGTTGTTTTTTTTTCCCCTCCAAATCTTATGAACTACTTAGTTAGGATAAAATAGAAATGCCCTTGGCAATAATTCAATGATTTATGCTTTTCATGCTAAAAATTAAACTTGTAGAGCTTGTAGAGTTTAGGTAAATCATAGAATGATTTCCTTTTAACTGTGAAATTTTATTGTTGTAGTATCATTAGGAAGATATGTAAAGGCTAAGTTCTAAATATTTTAAGGATATCTATTTTATTTGTTTTGCTATAATTTCTTCACAACACACAATCACATGCACCAATATGACATTTCATGAATAGCTCAACAACAAGGATTTCAGGAGGAACCTATTTCTAAAGAACATACTTTAAATATGTTAAGAGTTAATTATAGTGAAAATAGAAACACTATTAGAGACATACATTATAGGAAAACATACATGCAAATTTGATAACTTAGTCAACGCTGAACTTACTTGACCACTATTTAATCAGTAGTAGCCTAATGACATCCAAATCCTCAGACTGTCTCTGGAGAGGAAAATGTCACACACTCCCATGAGCAGTCCAAAGAATCAAATTTACACTCCCAGAGGCAGCTGTTAAATGTTCAGACACACAGACAAGAGTTCCTTAGCACACTAAGATCGGAAAGCACACAGCTGAATAAATTCTGCCACCAAGTAAATTTTGATTTTGAGCCAAATAGAACCTTCAAAAAAAGACAGAAATGCTGCATCCATTTCAGAGTAAAGAATGATGAGATTTCATTTTTCAAAAGATATGCACTACAGTGTTTAAGGGATGTGTGCATAAAGGTATATCTTGCTTTTGGTAAATCTTCTATTGTACTAATAGAATGAGGATAAAATTTCCAGTATACTAAAGTCATCTTAGGCACAATTCTATGGAACTTTATGTGTATGGTTTTATGTGTGTTTGCAACAGAAAGAAAGAAAATCAGATATCACTAGGCAATACTTATATATTCTGGAATTATGAGCTAAATAGCTTTTATTTTTATAATCAAAAATAGATAAAAAGGTGATAGTAAGTAATAAATAAGGTAATTTTCATACAACAACTGACAGACAAGTTGATTATCAGCAACTTAAATGTGCTAACGTGCTTCCCTTCCCTTAGGCCATGTTGCCCTCTCACTTAATTTTCCACTGGTCACACACAGTGCTGTCAGACATTTGACTCTTATCTTTGTCCTGCTGGTTCCACAAGGACCAGCATTTAGTTCACCCTGAATCTCCAAGCACAGCCCAAACTCATAGCGGCTAATCAGTTGAATGAATAGACACACACAATGGATATTATAATGAATATTGAAAATATTGAGAATGACCAAGAATCAGGGCCTGTTATACTGCTTACTCACAATTTAAATATGCAATTGTTTGACTGGGTTGAAGAACATATGTTATGAAAAAGATGGCTATGAATGTGACTTGGAATTCATCACTTGTTCCTAACTTTAAATCCCTTAGTCACAGTGGAAATAATTCCCTCACAGAACTATTAGGAAGACGATAGCACACTATAAAAGACTTTGTAGAAAGCCTTAAATATAGTATATTTGCTAGATGGTCAGTGACTATTAAATATTTACTTGGGAGAATTTATGAAAATGAATAAAAGAAATACTGAAAATTATAGGAAGGTATGAAGTGAAAAATCTCCTTTAATCCCAATTCAATTATTCAGCAGCAATCAATGTGAGGTCTGTGTACCTTCCCAGGAATTGTACGAATTTTAAACTTATGTGTGTATGTGCCGGGGATCATGCAGTACTGAGTCTCATGCCTGCCGCACCCTTCTCACAGGTGCCTTGGAGACAGCCTCAGACCATGCTCGCAGAGTGTTAATTTTTTCCACTATTGAAAAACATTCCATAGTAAATTACACATTTTTAAATAACCAGTCTCCTACAGTAGACTATTATTGTTTTATTATTTTCTGGTATAAAAACAAATGCTAAAAATGCAAGTACCTATAGTTTTATTTACCTGTGTTAGGACACCAGTCAACAGCACAGAATAGAATTTCTGGGTGGAAATTTGTACTTTTGGGGGGGAGGGTGTCCTGTTTCTTAACAGCACTCACATGGGGTTTATGTTGAACTATTGAACTTAACAGTGCTTTGTAGCATTAGCCATGTAATTGAGTGAAGTTCAACCTCTTTTCCTTTTAGTCATTTATACTTCCAAACATTTGTAGTAATATTCTTGTTCATCCTTTACCTATGGATTTGCCTTTTACTGAGTGAACAGTCAACTTTCTGACATTTACAACTTTTTTTTCACAGTGCTGTTTTAACCAGTGCAGTTGTGCTACCAGAGAGGGCCCAATTTTTTCAAAGTTGACATTTATAGATATTTTCAATTGTTATGCCATCAATTTTCATAGTCATTTCCTTTAAAGCACTATATCATACTTTGAAAATCTTTGTATACTTCAAAACTATAAATTATCTTTTTTTACTTTTTTTTTTTAGTCTTTATAACTGGTTTGAGATAAGCTGATTCATGGAATTTAACACGTGAAATTAAAGAGGAAGATTCAAGTCAATTGAGTGACTTACATATTGCGACATATTTGAGAAACAGATGACAGATGCATTATGAGGGAAAAAAATAAAGTTGCAATGGGAAAAATATATTCTTTAAGAGGAAATGATCACATGGCCCAAGTTGTGAGCACAGTGAATACTGACAAAGTATGTCTTTCCCAGTTTGAAAATCCTATCTCATTGTATTCTGACCTCCTTTCTGTCAACACAGGACAACTACAGAGTCCACCTATATATACACTTATAGTGTGAATCAGGATGTAATTTTTTATGTAGCAGTTGATTTTTAACTAATTCAATTTAAAAAAAAAAAGATTTATTTGTGCATACAGAACTGGGGTACAGGCCAGAGACTCAGGGGCGGTGAGAGGCTTCACCAGAGACAGAGTGCGGAGCAGAACAGGCAGATGGATGAACTACACTGCTGAGGGGAGCAGTGGGCGGGACAGGAGAGGTCTGCCACGCCATGTGGTCACCTCCGGGGCAGGCAGGAATCGAACTCATGCGGAAGGGGCTTTAGATTCTCAGGGCTGTGCTTTAACCCGCTGCGCCACCAGGGAGGGCCTAATTCAATTTTTAAGCTTAGCAAATGAAAAGAATTTGATCATAAGACACATTGCAGTACTAAGTGTATGTGTAAGCAATGACATAAATTATTATGATCACACAAAAGAGTCAACAGTTATTGAGGACTTACTCTCTGGCTGGTGTTCAACTAGCTATTTCACAAGATATCACCCTGTTGCCATATATTTACATCTTATAGGCTCTTTAAGAAAATAGAGATGACAGAGTTAACATATGCCAAAACAAGGGTGTAAGCCTCAACTGAATGATTGAAGGGCCTGTGTTCTTTCAGTAAGAAATAACTCTTTTGAATGAATTGATATTTCATTGACAGGAAGATGATAGCTAAACACAGCAAATGAGGAATGAACAATGCAATTAAATTTTAAAACTTATAAGCTACCTTAAAACATTAATTACCAGAGTCTAATCACAGGCAATTTTTTGTTGTTGCTGTTTTTATCCTTCAGGGACTGACTAACCATGAGAATTAATACACAACTACACATACATCCTTGCTCATTTATAAGAATAAATATATTTATCAGTAAAAATATGTATGTATGTGTGTATCATTACAAAAGAATATTAAACACAGAGAACAAACAATATGATAGAATGAAATCAAAACTGGAGAGACTAAGGGAGCTAAGGGAGGTTTTTGATTTCACCTTTGAAAGAAAATTGCAAGAACACTGTTAAAGATAATATGGCGGTAATGAAAGCGATTAAAGTTGATCTTAAAACATATGGTCTAGTGATTCAAAACACTGATTGAAAAAAAAAACATACTGCATTTGGA